ACATTGTACATTGTATATTATTTGAACAAAACTCTTGGCTGTAGTTTCTTCAGTGCAGTCTACATTGTATATTATTTTAATTCATTTGATAACTTACTTTTCCTGTTTCAGGGATTGACTTTTTCATTATTCTTGCAACATTTGCAATTGGGAGAAATCGATCCTACAAATTAATCAAATATTACAAATGACCTTACTTTGATTTAGCAAGAAAAAAAAGGTGAAAACTGCCAACAAACCAAATAAAAACTGTTAMAAAATTCGGAAATTGATGATCCCCCTCCCTACTGAATTATCAAAGATACTTTGTGGAAATTTTTCAAAAAACTAGATGCAATCCATGTTTTTCTATCTCTGTTTCTATCATTATTATACAAATACGCTTAAATTGATGAATTAAATGGAGTTAAATGACTCTGAGGGAAKCTAAGTTTCTTTCAATGTGTACATATGCATTCAACAGATATTTCTTAGATACTTTAATTTTTTTCTGACTGTTAGTCGATTATGATCTACATAGAGTTTGTTTTATTATGTTGTTTTTTGATGACTATTTGTTAAAGAAAAAAAAAACGGTTAGCAAACAAACAACCAAATACACTGTAAGCGTTGTCACATAAACCATATAATAAATCCATTGGTCAAACAAAAATATTTAGAAGTACTAGTTATCTACCTGCTCTCTGAGAACATCATCCCTTGACTCTCTTTCTTCACCATCAAGATCATGACCTTCTGAAAAATAGGTAATCATAAACAGAGGTCAATATACTGCACATAACACATGAAAGACTCACAAGGTAGGATTCATTAGAGCGATTTTCGTATGAGTGGGAAACGGACGGTACTGTACTGTGACCGTAATCGTACTGTAACCAAATTCTAGTGCCCCATTGTTTCACCAAAATTCTGCAGGCCAGATGCGGTAACTGTGCGGTAACCGTGCGGTAACGGTGTCCCACTCATACGAAATCCGCTCTATGCATGAAATTCCTTGTCTGTTGTATATAAGTCCTGTCATCTACTAACAAAAAGCTTCTAAAAGAGACTATTTCCTTGTTATTATTATTTTTATTTACAACTGATACAATATGTAGATTAGAGCCAGTTAATTGTTTATGTCATAAAGTAAGCCAGTCTGTTGGGTTTATAGCATGAAGATCAATGATAGGAAGCATTTCACATGAAAATWACACCTCTGATTTTGTGTATACATTAAAAGAAACAAGTTTATGATCATACAATATTCTACTACTACATTATAACTGAAACCCTCAAATCATTATAATTCAAAAAAAGATGATGTCATATTATTATTATTATAATGATTATTATGTATGCGTGACATTTAGGATATTGTAGCGAAGCTAGAGTAGGTGACCTTTCCTTCACAAACGCTTAGTCCATACGCAAAGTCACAGACACTCCTTTGTTGACACGTAACTCATATACAGTAAAAACCCGCATATAAAAACAAGTGGATTMAGAACACTCAGTCCTGATTTTAGCAAATAAATTACCATTTATATAGGAACACATTCAGCCTGAAAATCTTACATGGAAAAATATCAATTAAGATCAACACTACTTTTCATTGCACACATTGATTTATCAATTTTGTTAAATTAAAATAGTTACATCATTGTATTGATTACACAAGAGTGTGTGACAGTGTGACATTATCATTGYAAACACAGGAAGGGTATAACAACCAGTACCATTGTGAACAAAGTACAACTTATTAGGATCAAAAACCATATCTAACTTATAAAAACTATAGATACCTGCACTAAAGGAGGATTTTTTTGAGGGATTACTGAGGAATCAAAACCTAGTAGATAATTCATAGCCTGTGAGCCAATACACAGCTAAATCATGTGCAAGAACGAAGAGTGTATCTCCATGGTAATACAGATTGATAAAAAAGAAGCAAATTGCTAATAAAAATGACTGGAGAATATGCATAGCTTTYACAAATTGATGGACTTGATAGAAAAACCAATTAACAAAGATCAAGTTGATCTACATTGTATAAATGCTGTTATTGCTTACTGAATTTCACTGGTTAAGAAGATATGCTTTTGCTAAAGAACATCTTGCCAGAAATGATCTATCTATCTTAATTGTTATTTTACTATTGGTGGGCTAGGATGACGGCCAATCATCACAGATATGCTTGATAGAACTCATAGTTCACCTATAATAGATTGAACATAAGGAATATCTCTCTATAGATGGACAGAGCCCTTTGAAAATGATTAAGAACCAAGAGAACTGTCTACTTGTTGTATTGGTGGGCTAGAAGGACAACCAATCACCACAGATACAATTGATACAAGACTTCTTCTCATTGCATGCTGTATTTCACTGGTCGTCTCCATCAACATACTATACCTTTAGGGTATGGATACTGGTTATATGGAGGAGGTAGATATCCTGGATTATAGCCCATGGCTGGATTAAATGCTGTTCCATATCCCATGTCCATGTTCATATTCATGATTAGTTCAGTCTAACATCAAACTGGATAACCTAATAAACAACTGCCTAATTGGATAATTAAAACTTTGGAGATTCTTGTTATATTATCCATTCCTTGATAAATAGTACCTTATACATAATGGACAATTCTTCCTATTGGTTACTGTATGGCCAATTTATGAGATAATCATACCAAACCTTTATCTATGGACAGGGCTATTCTATTATTTAAGCAAGTGGCGTGAGAACACAATAACAGAATTGATAGAAGACCCTTAAATTTCTTTCACAGTGAATAATTTCAGAATTTCTGATAGAATTATTGTCAATTTTCTTAAGGTTTAGTATTGTATAAAGTGGAAAAAGAAGATAAAAGATAGCCAGTGATTGTTGTAAGGGTGTTAGGACCTTTATTAGATACCACCACAAAACACAAAAAGGACATGAATTATTTAGAGTTGGTTAAAGCACACTGTGTGGTGTATTGAAAAATTAATAGAATTTGGAGAAAATAAATGTGTTAGTGCTATTACTCAGGCAATCACTCACTACAAAAAGACTTACATTCAAAAAGGGCTAAACTGAAACCAAATTGTTTTAATTGAGTAAATTAGTACAAACTTGAAGATGGTGAACACTTTTTGGTAATTTCTGTTTCTCATGGATAGTAATCTTCTAACCAAAAGCAAGAGTAACAGCTGGAGATTTTTTGAGAATGATTAATGTTTCATTAAAAACTAAAGAAAATACACAGTCACAAGGATATCTGATGTCAGCAGAAAATATTTGATAATAAAGAAAAAAATCAAAGTGCGGTAAGAACAATGATAATAAAAAGGAAAAGCTTGGAAAACACCAAAAATGAGAAAAAATGTTAATCAGTAAATGAAAATAAATTAACAACCAAAATATTAAAATAATATTTGAACTGAAATTTAAATGCAAAATTACCAAAACATAACAAGAGAATTAATGTGATGCTTAGAAAGATTTGTACAATTGAATAATTTTAAGAGATCTTATTGCTGAAAGAGCTTATGACYCATCTTAATCAACTACAATTTTGTGTGAAATTACAATCAAATTAATGATCGGTAGCTTTTCTCAATCTTCTTTTACAATCAAATTAATAGGAAATGTTTTGTGGCAAAAATGATGCCAACTTAACACTTAAAAATAATCAATTTAGTCTTTTTAAAATTTAGAAACAGTTTTATAACTTAAAAAGAATTTCAGAGTAAAGTAATCCTTGATTGTTGAATATTCAACTTTGTTGCTATTGATGACATTATAATATTAAATTTTGTTCAGAATGACATTAGAATCRTATCATCTGAAAATGCATGAGCTTAAGGATCACTTAACCCCTGAAAAAGGTTTTTCAGATTTCAATRAAATTTACAAATTAATAAATTTACAATGCAACCATTTGCTTGGAGACTAACTATAGAATACTAAATAATAAGCTCCTATAGTCTGACTGCAAGGAAAACAGACAAAAATAAAAAAAGGAAAACAAAACACATTATAATATACAACATGAGTCAGAATACTGCAATAAGACAACTCCACAGGGATTAYATAAAAAAATACCACAAAAATTAACAAAACTCTGGAGGAACWTTTCTTATACGCAGACACACGRYAAACAACAGTATSTAAAACKATATTAAGATTTGATGACAAAAATTCTTAATTATAATGGAAAGATAAAAATTATTGTTTTTTATTAAAAGTGCAGATAGCAATATCATAAATATCATACTCCTAGTAATTAAATTACTAACTATAATATATGGACCTACAATAGCAAATGAACGGGATTTTATAATCAATAAGCGTATGAAATCTACATCTCATTTATTCATAAAATCATTTGCATTCTTGTTCAAAATCATTTGTTGATAATTATGAACAAAAACTTGTTGTTCTTTCTTTGTTTTTATTTATTCTTCAAAATGTTTTTGTTGTTAGTAAAATGCATGGTGCTCCATCATTCTAGATTTTTTTTAATTCTTCCTTTTGTATTCTTGTTCATAATCATTTTGATAATTATTAACAAAAACTTGTCGTTTTCTTTCTTTGTATTTATCCGTTCTTCAAATAATATGTATGGTGCAACATTCTATTGTAGATTTTTTTTTAATTCCTCCAATTGTATTCTCGTTCATAATCATTTTGGTAATTATCAAAAACTTTTTTGTTTGTATTTATCCATTCTTCAAATATGATTTTGTTGTAAAATGTATGTATCATTCTAGTTTTTTTTTTAATTCTTCCATGGTACACCTTAGAATCAAGAGTAATCATTCAAAGCTTTTCTCGCTCACTTAACCCTACTCTTCTTTATTATAAATTTTCTATCATCTATCAATCCATTTTTGTACAAACCATTGTATGTAGGTCTTTCATTTATCAAAGATCTTGTTATCTATTCATTAATTCCTCATCCATAATTGTTTTTCATTCATAATTCTTTAAGAACACTACAATATATAACTGCAAACCTTCTGCCAATTTAAACTGAGAAACACTGCTAACTACAAGCCTTCAGTCCTTCTCAAGTAAAGCAAGACAGGGAACCCAAGCAAAAATTGTGAAGTAGTTTATTGGAATCCAGTACCATCTTTCAAGTACCATGGTCCAAGAGGTTCAATTGTTGGTGCAAACGGCCAGTTTAAATAGAGCCTGCAAGGGCGAGCTAAAAATCAAATGTCTGTTACGAGTTGGTTAGAATCTCACTTCTATGATAATCCAATTAACAAGTAACCAATCAAGCAAGATCATTTGGTACTTAGGAAGGACAGACTATATAAACATCATAACTACCACGTATGTTTTCATCAAAGTGATAGAACAGTGTCTTTTCTATAAACTATCCTTCCCAAAGTCAAAAGACTAGAGCTGTAGATAATTTTATCCAACTGCCTCATGATACAAAAGATTCATTTCAAGTTGATAATAAAATTGAGTAATATAACCAATGTGTTCTCAAGTTCTCTATTCCCCTGTGCCATCATAATTGACAGTCACTTTTTCTCCACCCATCATAAAAATCCAGTCAACCAATCAAAAAGGTGATCAAGAATTGGCCAATAAGTAAGCCCAAATACATTTGTGAAATCAGTATTTGATTGGTACTGCCTTATCAATCAAATAACCACCTTCTACCAGAACATTGATTTTTGCTCACCCTTACTGGCCTGATAGGCAGCACTTTGTGCCAGGAAAAACAAGTAGTGAAGAGTGGGACCAGGAATCAAGACACCAAACGTCCTACTTCGAAATAAATAAGACTCATCGTAACACCACAAAGCTTTACTAGAGACACMAGTTTAACTTAAACAGGTTTTCCTGACATCATAATTTTAATTAAGATTTTTTTTTAATTTAAAAAAGTTTAGTAAATTAAAAACTTGAACWGAAGAAAACAATAAGCAATAACAATAAAAACAAATTTTAAAATTCTTTTAGAATCCTCCTTTTATCAGAAAGTAATCACTAATTTTGTAACGATTTATTAAACCAATTTTATTCAATCAGCTATAATCAATATTTTAATTAATTAGTATATTAAGATAAATTAATATTATTTATTAATGTAATTGTTAAGATTAAATTAATACCTAAATTTTTTCACCACTTTTGCAATATTATTTTATCACATTGATCCGTCAATCATTGAAAATTCGAAAAAAAAGATTAAGAAATTGTATCCGTACAATGATAACAAATCAAGAACAGCGCCTTACCGTCTGTTGGGCTGCCCTGCATRACATACTGTTGCGCCAAATGACTTGTCAGCGTATATTCAGGTGGAAGGGACGTAACCATACCGCTTGCTCCATGTGCAGAGCCATCCTCGGTCCTTTCTACACCAGACCCATCAACAACACTCACACCTTCAGCTGAAGACACCGCAACACTACCAACGGCAACTTGAACAGGTACATTTGTAATGCTCAACCCAGCTTGGTTTACATCTTCTGTCAAAGTCTCTTGTTGGTCTTGAGAAGTTTCTAGAGTTTGTGGAACTGCGGCAATCCCTACATCGTTGCCATTAGGTACAGAGGTAGCCTGGGTGTATTGGGGGACATTTTGAGTAAAATGTGCTGCAGTTTCATGACTGGTTTGTGCGTTGAGGCCTTCACTTTCAGTCCTAGATTGGTCCTCGACTGCTCCTTCCATAGGGACCTTCGAGAACTATAAAACGCCACTGCCTCTACTAGTTCTAAGAGAGCACGATTGAACGAAATAAGACACTGTGAGCTTAGCAAACACTTCGAGTAATTTAGATGCTTCAAAAGAGAGCAATTAACGCAAGAAAACATTGTTCAAACCGCCTGTACTGATAAGCAAAGGACAAAATACACAACCGCTTTCTCGCTCGCTGAAAGGCATAGATCCAATGCTTGATTTGCAGAGAAAAATCCCGCTCAAAAACCGAGAAAAAACTGAATCTCTAAAGCTAAAATGTAATTGGTGGAGGGCGTGAAGGTAAAACAAACCTTTCTCGACTTTTTGTTGGCTGACCGGTGTTTCGTTTGAGTTGAAATAGCCAACGAAAACGCGAGTTGGCGGACGAATACGACTGGCTACTCGTTCTTCCTTCTTCACCACTCACAAACAAGCTGCAAGACACAACCACAAGCTACCATCCAAGCTGTCAATCAAATATCTGACCTGTCAACATTAACCAATCACTATCCTTGATTTAGAATATAGTTAAAGTCTTAGCCAATCAGAACGCTTCTATTTAAATAAGTTAATTTATTCAGATAGTCGGACCTTTTTGAAATGGTGCGGCGACAATGAATAATTATGAATAGAAATTAGCCAGTTTTCTCAGCGCTTTCAAAAATTACTTTTCATTTCCTTGCGTTAATCAAAGTATTCGCAGTCCATTCGGCATTCGAATTGTTTGCATTATATTGAAATATTACTTTACGTGAGCGGTTTTCTTCTAACAAACGAGATCGGCATTCAACACAGCTGAACTCATAAATATTTCATTTCATGTTTGCCCCAAGGCCAAAGTGAAAAAGAATTCGATTTAAAACGTTACGTTAGACCATACTGAGTGGAAAAGGGCAGAGTGAAAAGCTTGTCAATATCCTGTCTGGCGTTCCATTTGATTAATAGCACAACTTCTAAAATTACTTTCTAAGATCGATTTCGTCATTGCACCTGTTCTTGATATAGAAGGCAAAACACCTGGGTTTTCACTTGATATGAATGGCAAATTGTTCTGCGATAAAAGTTATTGATAACACTTCAAAGAGATGCATCTAAATAGAAATTAGCTGAGTCAGTGATGTACAATAAAAAAATAATAAAAATAAAAAAACGGAAGAGAACGGCAGCAGTATGGTGTAGAAGCCCCTAAAATATTCTTATAAGGGCATTGGGGAAAATTCGCGCTGTATACAAAAGACCTCACYCCTAACTCCAGCTTAGAGTGGATATAAATAGGGATGCTTTCGGTTTCTTTGGTGACAGGGGMGTGCTGATAAGCATAAAATAAAACAAAACTAAATGAAATGAAATAAAATGAAAACAATGAACCTCTCAAGATTCATAAATCTTTTGCTATAGATTTTTGATATATAATGTGCACTCTGATTGGCTGACAACTGTGTTTTTCGCTCAAAAAAAAGCAGAAAAAATTTATRAAAAGAACTATAAAATGTTCGCTTGTGTCTCTTGTGTTTTTTAACTCCCATYGTGTTTATATCAGAGGACAGCGACAAGAGCATTATTTCTATTTATTGCACTCTCTTGCTCTCTAGGGGCATTTATTACAAGTTTTTTCTTTGTGTGTGTGTGTGTAGGTGGAAAAATTAATGGATTTAAAAATAAGACATGATTGAAAAACTTTAAAGTACATGTATTTCAAAAGTTGTTTTCTGAGCAATATTTAACAATTAGATCTGGAGGACGAGTGGAAGCCCTACGAGCTGATAGCCCATGAGTCCGAAGGCCGAAGGCCGAATGGTCTATCAGCTTGTAGTCCACGAGGTCGAGAGATCTAATATTGTTTGAGTATTACCATACAAGTTGGACAAAAAACGGATGAAATAGTGTTTATTGCTAAAAGTGTTTATTGCTAAAAAATACGGACTATTGAAAATATAGACCCGAGTAGCGTAGCAAATCAGAACRAAAGGATTTGCAATAATCCACTAGTATGGTAATACTAAAGCTATATATTGCTATAGCCTTATACTAAGTCCTCTACTTGCATCAGCTAATTAATATTCAAAGAGAGTTTCATGTTTTTAACAAAAATGTAAAAATGTTCTAGGATGCTTTTTGATATATTTTTTGTTCTGAGATGAAGAGTTACTATTTTAGTCTTCAAAAAATGTGAAAATAACATGCATCAATACAATATAATTTTTGCAAAGCTTGCCAAATATAAGTGTGTTTACAGCAAGAATGAATTGGCCAACTTTTCGATGGAGTTATCTAGTTAATATTATTGGTCTCATTGTCATATTATCATCTGTTGGAAGCCTGTTCATCCAAGTGTACTTTTGCCATTCTTTCTATGTCATCGAGACTCAGCTGCTTTACCCACACATCAAAATCCTGTAAAAATGAATAACTTGATAAAGCTAGCAAGCAAGTTTTGTTCCTCTTATAAAAATGCAAGTTTCTGAAGTTTAGTGTTTAATAGGTGTTGTATTTTCATAATATATATTAAAAATTAAATTATTAATCAAACATAAAATAATAAAATAAAAGGGAAATGAGATGGGAAACGAAATATTGGATGAAAATATTGGATGTGAGAAAGAGGAGAAAGAAGTGAAAGACATAAATTCCAGAGGAATAGAGAAAATTGAAAAAAATACACATAATCTATACTGCATGCTGCTAGTGCAAGCAAAATAACATGAAACAATACATAGGAAATATTCTAAGACAGATTGACGCAGTGGCCAGATTTGTCATGAGACTAGGCTGCCTGTGCATATAGTGTCCATCATGCATCAACAACAGAGAACAGCAAGTTCACAAAAACCAATTATGAAGGAAGGTATGCCTTAAATGCTCACACTAAACACTTGTAAATAATGTAATGCTATCAGTGGCCCAAACTGATAGGAAAAGATTGAAGCATCATTGCTGTAATTTTGCTCTTTCCTTCCCCTGTATATTCACTATATGGGGAAGTGCCGCCAACCAGGGTATCGTTTTCAGGGTATCGATTTTACTTTGGATATCGATTTAAACAAATTTTCTCTGCATTTTCCCCCGGCTCCTTCCCATCGACCCCTTTGAGTAAACGGAAAAAGAGAGGAGTGACTGGAGACAAGTCTCCATTTACAGCATGTCATTTTATAAGTTGATACAAACATGGGTTAATAAACAAGGCGCAATAGAAAAAACTAACCTCCTTAGACTTATGGATAACTTTTTCTACATCAGCTTCTGTAAAGTGATTTTTTAATAACATTCTCAGGTGATGCCAGAAGTCTCTCTCTGCAGTTGTGGGTTTTATCTCTGCTGTTTTTTTGACAAACAAATGTATTTTGTCTCCTTCTTTGACTCCATGATCATGCAAGCAGCCGCTGTCTAGGTGAAGATTTCAGTGATGAGTAATAGAACTGATATCATCTTTACATTATCTTTAGTTTGAAAAAAATACYCTTAAAACCCAATATTGGTCTGATATAATGAAAGTTGCCAAAAATAGATTCAAATTTACAGTCCAAAAAGTTTCCCTAATGGTAAACACATTTTCTGTTCGAAGTTTCATTATATGTCAGATTTATGTAATGTATACAATCTTTGTCTTGTTAATATAATAATAATGTTTATACAACTTTTCAGTAAAATCAGACGTTTTGATTGGTTGGCTTTCGTGTGTTATCAAAGTATAGATRCACGGATTACGTCAAAACTAATTGTTTGTTGTATAAAACAGATAGATCTCATTTTTCCGTGCGTGTGTACTCTAATAGATACACAGATGACGTCAAAGTGTAGTGAGAACAACAGTCACGCACTCGACTGCGTCTCGTGCGTACTTTTTTGTTCTCACTACATTTTGACGTCATCTGTGTATCTATTAGAGTACACACGCACGGAAAAATGAGATCTATTTGTTAAATAATAATGTATAATAAAGTATAATAATGTATAATAATGTATAATATATGTATAATAATAATCTACATGGACTGACAAAACAGGATATTAGCAGCCTACTGTTAACTTAGTCACRCGTAGGTACACTAACACTAATGTGACCACCTCCTATAAAAAAATACCTAGATCTCCTGAAAAGAATGGGGTATCATGGTAAGCAGGAAGATTTCATTRAATTTGGAAATTGGTGTTTCTTCTAAAATAGTAACCTTCTGGTGCAAATCCTTGACAGGATCCTGTAAGATCCTGTAGGATCTTATTGCTAGGAATATGATCCTATGTAGAAACAGGATACTGACTAGGATCACAGTATCACATTCTTATGTAATCTGACAAGGATCTTGAATATTATTAACGGCTAAGTAAAGTAWAGTATTTAGTAAGTACATGATACACGTATACCTGTAAGAGTTTTTCCTTTGAATACAAGTCTTTGAGCTTCAACTGGCACGTCCATTTGTTGTGCAACAACTCTTTTCACGGCCAAAACTGGTTCGGTTTGTGAGACCTATAAAAACAATATTTACATCCTTTCGGCAGTGTTTTCAATAAAAAAATACCATGGAAATAAAACAGATATTACCTCTATAGTAATCTCTTGACCTTTAAGAATCTTAACTTTGATTTTCATCCTTAAAAAAAATATATATTTTCGACTAATAGTTAGAGCAAAAGTGGAAGTCGATCGAAGTATTTTCTAAATTGGTAACTAGTCCTTTTTCCGGTCGATATATAAGAAGAGAAACTGGAATCTACTATATATAACACAGGAATCCCATCCTTGCGAGTCCTTGATTATTTTTAAGTTGAAAAGAAAAAATCTTTAGAGAAAAACAAATAAAGTAGCAACAGAAAAGAAAAGGAAGAAAAACAAGAAAAGAAGAAAAGAAAAGAAGAAACAAACCAACAAGAAACAAGTAAAAAAAAGAGAAATTCCAGCAGCAGGACTCGAACTCAGGACTTTCACTTCAGGAGAAGATGTAACCCCCCCTGACATACATAAAAATAATGAAAATAAAAAAAATAAAAAGATGGGACGATTCCCCCGAGACATTCTATGAAGCTGAGGCGGCGAATCGGCTTACGTTACGGTTAGAGATTTCGGCTCTTCCACGCTATCCCGAGTGAACATAAAACTTAGTCTTAACCAAAAGGCCAGGGAGTGAGGGGGTAGCCGCCCACTAGAGCATACCTTTAGCTACCCTCTTAGACCATTGTACTATGAAGACACTTATAGATATCTAACACCTAATCGGGATAGTCTATTCGGCAAAGTTCTTTAATAATATATGACGTCACCAAAATCCTTAGGGAGCAGGGAGCCAATCAGAGCTCAGCTCAGGAATTAGCAAAGGATTCAGGGTTTGCATAATCATTCTTCAGTGAATTTATTATTTGATGGGGGTGGGGGATGGGTGCCGAGTGCTGGCTGCGGCCGAATACCGATGTACTCGATGTACTGTGACGGCTCTCACCGAGCTGTTCAATTGTCRTTATTGTTTTCCAAATCATCACAGGAAAAAGTGTACAGTTCTTATATCAGACGGACATCACAAGTATTCGGATAAACACTACGACAAAATTCTCTTGAAATTCTTAACGTAAGTAGTTAACAGACCAGGCAGATAGATCGCTAGCTAGTGCCAAAGATTTGCCGGGATCGGCAATGGAACGCAATTGAAGACCGGTCGAATATTACCACATTTTCGTTGTTGGTGATATAAAAGTGTACAAATGGATTTAAATATTGATTATTCACATGATTAAATCTACTATATATAGTGAATGTTAACATTTGAAGAGGATCAATGACAATCCGTATAAAATYGACAAAAAATACTGAAAAACTAGCAATCTTTGGGGTTTTATTGCAAAACTAYAATCAGACGAATACGAGTAAAAATATGTAAACTATACATTTTAAATGATCTAAACATTTTATCGAAGAAAACGTTCGAGAATTTATCATGAGTTTATAAGTCAACAGATACAGAAGCTGATGTCTTTGATTACAGCTAAATTAAAGCTAAGAACTCCATATAACTTGGATAAAAATTCCATCTTTCCGAATCTTTCAGGATATGTTTACTTCGAGTTTACTGTAGGGCGTCGTCAGGTCCCCAGGGGAGGAATGATCRAAACATCACAATCGGTTTCTTGGCCCCTGGGAATAACCGCCTGGTGTGTATTTATACCAAGCTATTTCAAAAAACCTCGTCGGGGAGAACGGCGAACGGCGATTGTCGAAAGATTGCACGACCGAAAAGGACAATGGTTAAACTGATATTTGCACTATTGGATTCACCTTTCATAGAAACACTGGAAAAACTCGCGCACTTTAAAAGGTTGTAAATTTCATTATAGTGGAGATAATGTATTCCAAGAGCGAAATGCATTGTGGGTCTTTCTTTCACCGTTCACCATTCAAAAGGAGTTTTCACGGTTTCAGTGTGCTATGCCAGGTCCATTTTGTGGTCAATTAATGGCCTGAGAAATATGCAGTCCTCGACTGCCTATTTTTCTTCTTCTTTTCAATATGATTTTTTGGTTATGTTTTCATTTATCTTTTTCTTCTGATACATTTATTTGTCAGAAACCAGATTGTACATTTTCTATCAACTGAAAGCTGCCATAATAGCGAGGAGTAGTGCAAGAGTCGAACCCAAATCAAAACTCCAGAGATAYAAAATGGACGTACGTTATTATACTGTATAATGAAATAGTGATTTTTCCGATTACTAGTTGAAAGCGTTTTGTAAGTTGTACTTAGATGAAACAAGAGAAGCCAAAAACGTAACATGTGACTGCTTAGTAAAGGGGAGGGGGAGTCACATCAGCGAAAATTCTAGGCGAGAAGCAGAAAAAGGGTTTCTAAGAAAGGTTTTTTAGCACTATAACTGTTTGATTATGACTAATGAAATACATTACTAACCAGACTTCAGTCACACAAAAGACAAAAGTGTTGTTCTGTGTTGTTTGTAAGATCACTGATGAATTATTACTACTCGACTAAGGGTGACCGATGTATGGTTCGTCCATAGGGATTATTCCTGACCCGCCTACGTCCCGCCGTCTCCACAATCATTCACTTTAAAAGATGGCAACAATAGCAAACATGTATAAAATTGTTCTTTTAATTTGTTTTTCTCATAAATTATTACAATTAATTCTTGATTTCTAGAAAATAATTCCACTAAACAAAGATTTACTCTATTCTCTATTACAAATCGTTTTACCTGCAAAAAGTCATAGGATTCTTTTATTGCAAGGCAATAAACGTTCASGACGTTCATTTGCGCATTACTGTCCAGTTTTTACTGATACCAAGACATAAAGCAAAACGTACGCATTTYATTTTCTAGGAAAATCTGCACATTGCGTTAAATACTACCAAGACCAGAATCCTTTGCTAAGTTTCCTTTCATGATGATGTATTTATTGCCAATAGGTGGTCCGAGAAGCGACGCCATTTTGTGCAACAAAGCATAAGRGAGTAATTGTCCTTAATTTTTCATGTCCAAGTTTTCTCTTGGCAAAAATAGAGAAAATTGAGCCGATTATACAAATAAAGCATGGAAACGATTTTTAGGGAGATTTTAAGAGTCTTATAAAAAGTGGGAGGACTACAACTRCGATCWTGCCTTGCTGTACAAAATGGCGTCGCTGCACATTCGCTATTTTACTCATCAAAAAGGAATAAAAGTATGAATAAGAATGAAAATAAAGTATTCTGGTCTTTGTAGTAAAATTGAGCGTCGTGCAAAGGACACCTATCAACTTTTAGCAATTCGTTCTAACATTTTGACTGCTGCACGTCATATAAATACTGGACTGGTTGATAACATACATAATAACGTATTAATCGTGCCTTCTCGATGATAGTTCCATAAGCAGTATAATAGTGCGGGGCGTTAACATTATCATCTAGTTGTCTAATATCATTTTACAATAGTACTTTATCTACAATTTTATGGAGGCGAACACAACACTTAGAAACAGACCAATAACGTTAGTATTGTCTGGCCTCCGTAACAGACATTTTTAGCGGTTCGGCTCTCTCCGTCAACCTCGAAATATGTCTGSKACGGTCCTAACCATGCAGGGTATTTTTGTACCCGTAATTGTTTTAAATGCAATGATTTTTGCGTCCACACGCACATGGGGTCGGACGAGCGCGTGTACACGACTCGAAATAGGAAAGACAAATTCGCGAATACAAAAATTCCCCTCATCATGGACAATAGAAATGCCACGCGATATTCACGTGACAATACTGATATATAAGTCATGTGACCACTAGGCTCTGATCATGTGAGCTAAAAATTCAAGCACATGATTTGATCTAAACTCATTTTAAATAATCGAATGGTGAAAAAATAACGCGCGAAGTCACGTGACTACTGAGAAACTAATCACTTCCGACGTTCAGAAAAAACACTAGTCATTAAATCTATAAAATCTTTATACTTTTCAAAATTATATGAATTACCTTACTTATCCACGATATTGAATACTTAGGTTCAGTGACCAAGTTACAGTRARMATAAACGAACTGTTCTCATGCAGCGGTATTGTTCKTGGTCRCTGWACCTGGGTACTGTCGTGAATGGACATTACGTTTGCAAATCTCCAGTTGAAGATCGTGATTTAGTGCATTCACATGAGCATTCATGTTGCCTTTAGCATTTTTTGTTGTTGAAAAATTGTAAGTCATAGGCCGTGCTAAACTGGGAGACAGCGCTGTAGCCCCTCTCCACACCTCACTGCAACTTGCTCTGTTAATTCTTGGGGTTTACTGTATATAATTTGCGGAAATGGGGCGAGTCACGATGAGCGCAGAAAAGTTACTGTGGAGGACGCTAACATAGAGCACTGCACTGTCACGTGCTAGTTTTCAGTCGAGCGCGACTGAGAATCTTYAACGCCGTTCGSTYCACCTTGAMYWTGACCAGCTCGCAACAATGCAGCCAGTCCATGCATCTCAGTCCAAGCATTTAGTCATGAGTGTCCAATTACTAAGGATTTAAGTCGCGTCCCAGGTAATAAAATGATTTTATHATTGCTGTTACAAACTATTAATTGTCTACCCAGAACAGCAACTTCAACTGATGTGCGAACGGTCATTCAAACACATTAAGACGAAAAAAAACCCCGAAATCTAAATAATTCAACCCAACATGGAACGTAAGCACAGAAAGAGTGAACGTATTTACAATTGAAATATCTCAACCTTGAAGAACCGTATCACCTATGATCCTTGTGATATCAGGGGGGTCTGGACTCACTTGCGTTACAACCTGTGAGTTACATACAGAACAACAGTGTTACCATGACGATTACGTGATGTTACGTGCTGTGTGGTTAGTAGCGTTACATCAATAGTGCTTTCACACGGGGTGGATTTATACAGATATGTTATAATGCTATTATATGCAATGTACTGTCTTATTAAAAACTGTCTGCGTATTAT